CCATCTTAAAAATACTTATGGTTTCTGTGGGCCAGGAATATGAAGTGACTTCGTAGAATGTTCTGATTCCGGGTTTCTCAAGAGGTAGTAGTCAAGATTTTGGCTGGGCTGTAGTCATCTGAAGAAAGCTGAGGATTGGCTTTCAAGGTGCTTCCCTCACATGGCTCTTGGCAGCATGCCTGAGTGTCCTCACAGTATGGCAGCTGGTTTCTCCCAAAACGAGTTATCCTAAAGATCAAGGATGCTGCAGGCTTTCTGTGACCTAGTTTCTGCCACCACTCCCACCATATTCTGATTTTTGCAAGTATATCGCTAGGTCCAGCCAAGACTCAAGGGGAAGGAAATTAGGCTCCATCTTTTGCATGGAGTTGTGTCATTTGTGTCATGGTTATATTTTAAATCATCACAGGCAAGTTACTTAACCTCTGTGAGCTTGTGTTTCTTCACCTCTGAATAGGGGACAAACATAGTATCTATGTTACAGGAATGAGTTGTGATGTTAAATGAAGATATCTTTTGAAGGTGTTTTATATACATTATAACTCTCTAATGCTCTCATAATTTTCAGTGTAATCACTGCCAAAGATCTACTGTTCTCATCTGTGTCCTGGATTTCTACTGTGTTAGCATTATCTCTCTTGAATAGACCCTGTTAAACTGTGCTTGATTTAGGTTGACCCATAGTATGTAATCCGGGACATGCTTAAATTATCCTTTGCTCTTTCCCTTAGGTGTCTCTCTCAGATAATAAGTTGTATCTGTGCAGTCTGTTTACTTTAGGTGACAAAAGTAGTACCAATAAAAAGTCTGCTCTAAAGAAGCAAGTATTTAGAGAAATACACATAGGCAGTATTAGCTACATAATCTTCAGAACTAGTGTAAAATGGAAATGTGGGGCCGTTTGTTCAAAAAGGAAGAAAAACATATTGTTAAAGGTATTAAAATATAAAACCTATTTATCCCCTACCATGGGCTTTCTCATGACTCATCATGGCATTTTTATTATTTAATGTCATTTAAAGTAAACAAAAATTAAAATGTTAATTATGAATTTTGCTGTTCACTTATGTTGTACAATACCAGTTTTAAATGCAAATATAAAAGCATTAGGAATCAACAAATTATGCACAATTCATATTTTGTAGTTCCTATGTGCATATGTATTTCAGGTCAGTGGAAACACAGTGCAGGGTGACTCACCACTTCTTGACAGGCACACATTCTATCAACTCTATCTTTAGCTGCTGAGGACTAAGGAGAACGAAAAAGAAGGTGGCAGTGTGTTGCTCTCTTCCCTTTTGCTTCTGCCATCATTTCCAGTAAGTGGCTGCCCAGCACAGGGAACTAACAGAATAAGAACATGATGGGTTCCTTGTTCCTGTTTTTCAGACCCTGCCATCTGCCAGCTTTTGAGGTATGAGCCAAGTTCTGGTTCCAGCAAGGAAGTATGTTCTCCCCTGGCTGTCAGCACCCCAGCTTACTCACGTGTAGATATAACATGCCTACCTTGTACAGGTAAGGGCAGGAAATTTTCTCTTCATCCCTTCCAGGTTCTTTGGCTGGTCTGATAACTAAATTGACTTAAGATTAACAAAAGAAAAGCAAATTTAATTATGTACATATAGGAATCCCAAAGATATGACTAGTCATCTTGAAACCCTCTGAATGCGGGGCACCTGGGTGGCTCGGTCAGCTGTGTCTCACTCTTGCTACATCCCCCCAAATAAACAAAAAATCTTAAAAAAAAAAAAGCAAAAAACCTTCACTGAAAGATTAAGTATAAAGGGAAACGAGAATCCTGATGAATTTTGTTATGTGTGACGGGAAGCACAAACTAAAACTTCTAATACGGAAAGAATGCGAGGCTTGACTACAAATGGAATGAAATGAAAGTTATCAAAGCAAACATGCTGGTGTTTGCAGTACAAGCAAATCTACAGGTAAGACTTTGTGGAGGCCAAGAAAATTAAGGCCAACCCACCTCAAGTTTAGCTGATGTGGGAAACAGAGGGAGAAGAAAATCATTAAAATTCCTCACCTATTGACAAGCCCTTGAAACAGACAGAGTGGCTCTCCCCTGGGGACTTAACTGCCCTCACCTTGAGATTTTGCTAAGGACAATCCTAGCCTGACCAACCCCCTAACCCCACAGGTCCGACCAGAATCCTGTAAGTCTACATTAACAATTCCTTTAGGAAACTTTATCTCTAAACCTCCAAGATAGTGTCGAGAATCATTCCCAAGTATATGACCCACTGATATACATCTAAAGGGTCTCACAAGAAGATTTTTATTATTGGTAATGAATAACCTTTTCCTCAGACAACAGCTAGCCTCTCAAGGTCCTGGAGACCTCGCTTCCTGAATTCCTTAGAGACTTACATCATCCATAACCCCCTTTGTCCTCACCCACCACCGAGTCCACCCCTGCTCTGCCTTTAAAAACTCGGACTGTAATCTGGCTCAGGGTCCAAGTCCCTACTCCACTGTGTCAGGTATACTTGGGCCCAGGCTTAAGCCTGTCAAATAAACCCTCGTGTGATTGCATCCGTGCTTGGCTCCTTGGTGGTCTCTCAGACACGAAAACTCGGGCATAACAACTTCTGATCCTGACCAGAAAACGGGCACCCTGGGCGCCGAGGTTCCCCCACATGAAGAGGCAGGTCTGAGGGTCCTGTCTCTCCGGGAGCCCGAGCCTCGCACAGCCGGCGCCGGAGGGGTGAATACAGGCGAACGGGCGCGGGAGGGCGGACTCGGGCTCGCTGCCTCCGGGGCCGTCAGGACGGTCCGTAGCCGCCGCTTTCATCTCGGAATTGTTCCTAAACCTCACCAGCAGCCTCAGAGAAGTGAGACACGGGCGCTGTGGACGTCGCCCTTGGCCGCGGTCCCCGCCTTAGGCCTCGAAGCGCCCCTCACCGCCGCCACACAACCCTGTCGCTAGCTGGGTAGCAACCACCGGCGGAAGTCGTCCGTTTCCAGCCTCTCGGGGAGAAGCTGTCGGGTGTAACCTCCGCACGGCCTCCGGGGGGCGGCCGCCTGGGGCACAGCGCCGCTTCCGGCCTCTCTGGCCGAGGCTCCTCTCGGTGGTGGCCGCCGAGGGGCCGCGCTACTGTTTTGAGTTGCGGATAGTCGTTCACCTTCTGAAAGGCTAACGACGTGCGAAGCAAGTCCCCCAGTGTAAAGTTGTGGGGCACGAGGGCCGTTTCGGCGTTACGTCACGTGGCGATACTGTTAGGGACATAATCCAGGTTAACGGTTAGGCACGAGGCCCGGAACAGCGCGCGTTTGAATCCCGGTTGCAGCATTTGCTGTCCCTGTATTTCGAGCAGGACAGTCACAGCTCGGGTTTCACCGCAAAACCGGGCGTATAAACAGCGCTGGGACCGGTCAGGACACAGGAAGCATTAGCACAGCACGTGTGAAACAGGAAGCTACGCGTTCAGCGCCGCACCACACACGTGGGGTTACTTCGATGCTATCAGGACATTTTTAGTTCAAGGTAATTGAAAGGCAGATGCTTTTTTTTCTTTCTTTTTTTTTTTTTTTTAAATAAAGCCTATTAGTGAAAGATTTTGTACATTAGATTATCCTAATTCTACACTGGGGGTTGTTTGCTCGTTTTCAGATAAAGACATTATATACACATGGGATATTTAAGCCTTACATAGTTGCTTATATTTTCAAATTAGGGAAAACAGTAGGGCAGGATTTGCCTTTATATCCTGAAATCACTGGTGTTCTTACTTGTCGGATTCATCCCTCCACTCTTCTCTTGGGTACCAATCCTCTCTACCGGTCTTTAGTGGAGAGAAGAGCAGCCAGCAGTCATGAAACAATTCCAGGACCCTGACCTTCAGCGCTAATTCCCTCAGCCCTCCTCTACGATGGTCACTAGCCAGAGCTTTTTCTGTCCAGAGAGCTCCCCAGAACTGCTGTCTCTGTCCACTCACCCCAGGGAGGTGCCAAAGGCATATGTGGCAGTAAGATCCTAGTTATGGTATTGTCTTCTCCAAATTTGAGGTTGAGGTACAAAATGACTTTAAATGATCTGGGAAATTCAGAAAAGGTCATTTAAAGACAAAAGATTAGGGGCGCCTGAGTGGCTCAGTTGGTTAAAGCCTCTGCCTTCGGTTAGGGTCATGGTCCCAGGGTCCTGGGATCGAGCCCCACATTGGGCTCTCTGCTCAGCGGGGAGCCTGCTTCCCTTCCTCTCTCTCCCTGCCTGCCTCTCTGCCTACTTGTGATCTCTGTCTGTCAAATAAATAAATAAAATCTTAAAAAAAAAAAAAAAGACAAAAGATTAAGCTCTGCTTTATAGAGCAAGTGCTAAATGTGACTACCTTCCCTTACCTCTAATTCCAACTCCTGACTAATTTACTTCTCTCCTGTCTTGTTTGAATCTCTATGGGTTCTGGCCTCTTGCCTTGGATGCTCTCCTGGTTTACCTCCTGGCATGACCTCTAGACATAGACTTTGGTCTACATATTGGAATGCCACCATTGCGCAGGTCCTCGTTTGACAGGACTTTCTACTTTAGTTTTGCTGTGCCTTCATTTAAAGGAATGTTCTGAAAGCTCTGTGTGTATTGCTCATTGCTCAAACTATTCCACTTCAGGGCTTAGCCTACCTCCTCTTGAGGAGAATCATTAACGAATACTGATGATCAGCTTCTTTACTGAATCCTTTCCCCTCCATACTGCAGTCATGTTATTTCCTCTCTATCTCCATTGCCATAACCTAGCCTTTTTATTAGCCTCCTCCAAATTCGGCTCTTCTAGCTTGACTTCAGCAGTCAATAGAAGAGAGGAAGATCCTGACTCACAGAAAGTATTCTCCCACCCCAGTAGGGGAAGACTGTAAGCAAAACATTAAGCCTCAGAATGAGAGAAAAGAGATATTGGTCTTTTAGTCATTCATCTCACTCCATATTTTTTATTCAATATTTTTCATATTGCTATTTCTTTTGCATTTCCGTGAAAATTTAAGTTCTTTACATTAACAGGTTTTCCCTCTTGTGAATTCTTTGGTGTTGACGAAGGTGTGAACTCTGACTGAAGGCTCTCCCACACTCATTGCATTCATAGGGTTTCTCTCCAGTGTGGATTCTCAGGTGTCGAATGAGGTGTGAACTCACTCTGAAGGTTTTCCCACATTCACTACATTCATAGGGTTTCTCTCTGGTGTGAATTCTCTGATGCAAGATAAGATGTGAGTTCAGGCTGAATGCTCTCCCACATTCTTTGCATTCAAAGGGTCTTTCTCCAGTGTGAATTCTCTGGTGTCTAATAAGATCTGAGCTCCCCCCAAAGCCTTTCCCACACTCATTACATTCATAAGGCCTCTCTCCAGTGTGGATTCTCTGATGCCTGATAAGCTTTGAGCTGTGTCTGAAAGCTTTCCCACATTCATTACACTGGTGGGTTTTCTCCCCACTAAAAATTGCTGCATGTTTAATAAGGTTTGGGCTTTTGAGAGATGTTCCATATTGGTGAATTTTCTCTCCAGCATAAATTCTTTGATGCTTAATAAAATCTGGATTCCATTTGAAACTTTGGTCATAGGTACTGTGTTTACAAGATTTCTGGTGTGTCAATTCACTTGAATTCAGGTTTAAGCTTCTCTCACAACCATCATGGCTAATACTACCTGTGAGTGTATTTTTGTGGGTAAGGATTTTACTAAAACCTCCATCCTGAGCAGATGATGGTCTCTGAGCACCCCCTGATTCTTTTTCCCATTGCTTCTTTAGCCTGCCTGCAGACTTACAGATGTTTTGAGGCTCAGCAGTTCCTTCTGAAATGAATCCTGAAATTCTTCCTGATAGAATCCTCTGTGATTCCATTTTTTCATAAATGTCCAACTTTGGCATGAATCCATTGTTTTCACTCTCATTATCTAAAAGAATGAAAAGACAAAGTGGTAAATTATCTGTTTGCTGAGTTGGAAGAAAAGAAAATTTTGAGCTATACCCAAGACAGCTACATATTGGTACTTCAACTGGCCACTCTAAAAATGTGGCTTTTCAAGAGAAAGGTGTACTGGACAAGGACACAAAAGAGAAAATTTGGTAAAATCAATTAGAATGCCTGTGGAGAGGAAAACTTCATCTATCTACCTATCCTTTTTTCATGTCCATGGCTAATCAAGTTCTGTAAGTACTTTCTGCTGAATGTGCCCTGAACACCTCCCCTTCTTTACATTTCTGCTACCACTACCCTTGTCACTCTTCCTGTTTGGGGACTGTCACAGCTTCCTGCTGTCTAGACTCTGAGCTGTTCTTCCTAGTCATCCTGAATACCCTCACCAGACTAACTGTCCTTAAAATCCTGTCACCTCCTGTACCCTACTCAGAACCTTTCCTCTCTTTTCTTCTACAACACCTGAACTCCTCCACCTGGTTTCCAGGATCCATTTATGATCAAGTCCTCACAGTTCCTGCCTGCTGGCTCACAAATTTATACTGTGCCTATGACTCGATATTGTGCTGCAATCAAGCACCCCCTCTTTTTGTAGGGTTTCCTTTGTCTAGAATATGCTATAGCAGGAAAGGTGGTTAGGCAGTGCTGGTCTTAGGGTGGGGGAAATATATGATTTTGGATGGAGTGGATGGAAGTATCTCCAGAACAAACTGGAAAACAGAATTTGGGTATTATTTTTAACTGACTATAATTTATTTATTTTTAAAAAGATCATGACTTTTTTTTTTTTAAGTTTTTATTTTATTTATTGCAGGGGGAGCAGAGGGAGAGGGAGAAAGCAGGGGAGCCTGATGTGGGGCTGGATCCCAGGATCCTGAGATCATGACCTGAGCTGAAGGCAGATGCTTAACCAATCGAGCCACCCAGTTGCCCCCAAAACTAATTTATTCTTGAGTTTATTTTTGAGATCATTTACACCTAAAGTAATACTGAATCCATGAACTCTTTAAGCAGAGGAGTTTTAGAACAGTGATGACTATTCCATGGAGGGAGTCCCCAGAAGTATGACTGACTTCCTATAACAACATGAAAGCTTTGTAAGACCAAAAGTACAATAAAAAAGACAATAATGTGGATCTTGTTCTATGTATCTGTGAATTACATTCCACTTCTGGGTATATCATTATGTACCTGCTTTTCTACTAACGTGTTATTTCTCTTGATGTGTTTCTTCCTTTTTTTTTTTTTTTTTTTTTGCTTATTTATTTCTTGATGTTTTCTCACACATTAATTTTTCTTTCCTTTAGTTTACTCATAAAAATATCCTGTGTTTTGGAAATATTCTGGATGAAGAACAAATGGGAAAATGTAAATATTTTGGATAAGGAACCAAATTCTCTCTGTTTTTGTTTTAATTGGCCAATGACACACAGGGAAAAGTTCTCTACTTCTCATGGGGTGATAAAGGAAAGGACCATGTATGGTAACTGAGGCTACTCTGAGAAGAGACATTCACAGTCCCACTCCTTCAGCGACACAAACTGCACGCACTACTGCCCCTTACCGCCATCCAGCAGAAGGGGTGCTGAAGAACCACGAAGGGCCTTGGGGTCCACTGGCTGCAACTGGACACTCAGTGCTGGTCCAGGAGGCACCACCTTCTTCCCGAGTATCTCTTGTCTGTGTGCATGGACTGGAACCTGAGAAAAATAAAGTACATTTGGGCTTGTGAGAGAATCCCTGTTGGGGATTTGAATATCTTCCAAAAACAAAGAGAACCCGCTGTAGGAATACAAAACTGCAGGATGGATTAAGTCTGACTCAAATGTGAAATGTGGCACAGCATGAAATGCAGTGGAAAGGAGACAGAAAGACACACTGCCCTAACAGTCCCTGCAGGTCTCCCTGGGTGCTCAGTCTCAGGCCCTTTCCTCCCACTGTGGGACTCTGTCCATGTGGAGTTCTTAGATCTCCCATTCCCTGTGTACCTGGATTACTGCTTCATCAGCGCCTCTTTCCAAATCTTCCAGTAGGGTGACCACCTCCTCTCCATTCTCTGGGCCATGTTCCCGCACCCAGGCCTGCAGCTCCTCGGGCAGGATGGTCAGGAACTGCTCCAGCACCAGCAGCTCGAGGATCTGCTCCTTGCTGTGTGTCTCGGGCTGCAGCCACTGATGGCAGAGCTCCCGCAGCCGGCTCAGGGCCTCGCGGGGCCCAGCGGAATCCTGGTAGCAGAACTGCCTGAAAAGCTGTCGGCAGAACTCCTGCCCAAAGGGGTCGCTTCTCTGGAGGGAAGTGTCCTGCCTCCAGACAAAATCTTCCTCTTCTATCTTCACTATGAGAAGCCCTTCATTCTCCTGAAGTTTCTGAGCTGTAGCTTTCTTTGATTCTGTCGTCATTTTGGGATGAAATGTATTACCAGGAAATCCACTTCTGCTTTGTGAAGCGTCCTACTTAGTTTCAAGGGCTCTTCTAAGGGATAAAAAAGAACTATTACTGTCTATGAAGATGAAAGATCACATCACAGAAATAGTCATTTTCCATTGCCCAGAAGTATACTTGGCATTTACTCTATGTAGAAGCACTGAAATACTTTGTGGAATAAAATTGTTACACAATTTCTACCTCAAAACACTTTCAAATTTAAATTTAAAAACAAAATTCCGCTCTTTGGAAAATTCATTTATTTTGGAGAGAGAGGGCGCATGTGTGTGAGCGGGGGGATGGACAGAAGGAGAGGGAGAGAGAGAATCTCTAGCGGACTCCTAGCACATCTCAGAGCCCAAGGCTGGGCTCAGTCCCACGACCCTGAGATCATGACCTGAGCAGAAATCAAGAGATGGACTCTTAGTCAACTGAGCCACCCAGGCACCCATAAAAACAAAATACTTTAAAGTAGAAACAATAAATATAAGATTTAAAAATTTCAGGCAATGCTACATGTTAATATGTCACTTGCAATTAAATTATATGTTAAGTCATAAAGACAATAAGGACCAGCAGAAGAAAACAATAAAGTGCTTCACAAAGTTGGAGATGCAAAGGAGTTGCAATGCAGGGAAATGCAAAGCAGACTGCAATGGTCAGGGAAAACTTCATGAAAAATTAACTTCTGAAGAATGGAAAGAATTTGATGGGATGAGGGAGAGAGAAAAGTAGGAAATTACAAGCAAGGAAACAGTCTGAACAACTGGTTAATGGTAGGATCACAGAAGTGGGAAAGCAAAAAGTTCAGTAGGTTTGTATAAGGAAAAAACAGAGGCAAAGGCCCTACCATAGAAAGCCTCAATGCCAAGATCCTGAACTCAGAGTTTACCTTTTAGGCACTGGGGAGCCAAGGAAAGCTTCTGAGCAGAATGACCTGACAAATACTGTTTGTGGAGATTAACATGTTCATTTCTAGGATGGACTGCAACATGAAAAGAGAAACATAGAGAGGCCATACTTATACAAGTGTGAGGAAAATACAAACTCGAAATGATAATTATTAATTCAAAATCTGGAATTAGGATTACTTACAAATCTCTTAAGTAATAGGGTAGCTTTTCTTAAAAGATTTTTTAAAAAATAGATTTTATTTATTTGACAGCAAGAGAACACAAGCAGGGGCAACGGGAGAGGGAGAAGCAGGCTTGATCCCAGGATTCTGGGATCATGACCTGAGCTGAAGACAGATGCTTAGCCATCTAAGGCACCCCTAAAAGATTTTGAGTAATCTCTGCACCCAGTGTGGGGCTGGAACTCACAACCCTAAGATCAAGAATCACCTGTTCCATCAAATGAGCCAGCTGGGTGCCCCGGGGCAACCTTCCTTGAGAGCCAGAGGCTAAGTTTCAATCAGTGTTAACTAGTTCCTTCCCCAAAGTTCTCAAATAGATAGGTTTCCTGTTATCTGTTGGGATATAACAGATATCCCAACAGTTCCTTCTCTATCTTCCTAGTTTTGTGGCTCAGTTCATATCTTGGACATTAAGTCCTATCATCTCACCAAGAAAGTTAAATATAATAAACCAGCACCATGACTTATCTGTCGACTGTGAGTCTTGTTATTAAACACCAGTTCCTCCAGTCTTAGCACATGGGAATGTCTGGTTTCTGCACTGAAAAACTGAGTAACAGGAATGTAGATGTGAAGCCTAGAATGCGAGAGCAGAATGCAAGTATTAATCTTGCAGGGCCTTCTACTACACATTTCACCTGATTTCACCTGATTAATCTTGCAGGGCCTTCTACTACACATTTCAGCTGATTGCGGATCGTTGTACTGACATGTACTTTATTAAAAATCTTGGGGCGCCTGGATGGCTCAGTGGGTTAAAGTCTCTGCCTTCCGCTCAGGTCATGATCCCAGGGTCCTGGGATCCAGCCCTGTATCATATCGGGCTTTCTGCTCAGCAGGGAACCTGCTTCCCCCTTTCTCTCTGCTTGCCTCTCTGCCTACTTGTGATCTCAAATAAATAAAATCTTAAAAAACAAAACAAAGAATCTAAATACAAGCCAAACTCTGGGCTAGAAGTTGTACAGCAATGGTTTCCAAGAAAGTCTGTGTTCCCAGCTCATTAATTAGCTGACTAATTAATCATGTGGAAACTTTGTTAGAAACTGATTTTTGGGATGCTGTCTGGGTGAGTATGGGTATACCTGGAAAATCCGTATTCTGATGTACAGCCCCAAAGAATCAAATGGTGTTTGAGTTTCTAAAAACAGTTCGGAAAAAGTCATAAAACCCATGTGGATTAAAAACATTTAAATATCTAAATGTTATGTTTCACAGAACACACACTGAAATGCTGATCAATGCGGTAAACCGAAGGACTAAACAAGTTGTAAGGTAGTATGAAACACCCTAACGGTTTAGAGGCAGGGAGACGACGTGTGTGTGTGTGTGTGTGTGTACACGCGGGCGTAGCAAATACTTCTTAGAGGTGCTGGTCCTTAAGGTGGACAATACAAGATTCAAAAGGGAAAGATTCAAAAGTCATAAGGGAAAGCTGAGGAAATGGGAATGAACAGCAGACTGAGGGAGAGCCGAGCTGGCAGGGCTAGTATTTGTTGTGACAACTCTGCGGAATTCCTACGTAACACCCCTGACTACGACACAGATCACCGCAAATTATTTTTAGCTTTGGCTGTTTTTCTTCAACGACCGTTACTCCATGAGGTCAAGGGCCACGCTCTCCCGCTCTCCGAGCTCTCACAGTCTTTGAACTGGAGCAGAGCCCGAGAGGCCTCCCGACGCCGCGGGCACACGCAGGAGGGAGGAGTCGTGCCGGGACCGAGCACGCCGCGGGGCTGCCCACCGCCCGCTTTGCGGGCCGTCTCCTCCGCTTCCACCGCGTCCCGGGCACACGCGGAACGACGGGACCGGGGCCGCCCGCTTTCCCTACGAGAAGGCCGGCACTCTCCTCGCGAGAGGCGGCCGTCGGGACCGGCTCCCGGGCAGCTCCTCGCGGCTGGAAGCCGCCTTCCAGACGCCGCCGCCGGGCTCGCCATCCCCGGCAGTGACCCCGCACCGCGGCGGGACGCCCCAGCCCGGCACTCCGCCCCGTCCGCGGCGGTGACGTAACGGCGGCGCGGGTAACCATGGCAACCACCGCCCCTCTGGAAGTAGGCGGGCGCAGTGTACTCTGAACGCCGAGCATCCGGGCCACTTTTCTTCGGGATTCCTCCGCGGTCCCGGCTCCGGGGCTCCGCGGGGCTGCAGCAATCCCGAAGTAAAGTGGTAGGGACCGGGTGCTTGGAGGGGACAAAAGGTCGGACCAGTGGGTCCTCAAACCCGGACTCACCTCTTCCACAGGGTGGTTCCGATCGGACACTTCCGGTGGGGGCACGGCGCAGCACCCTCTCTTAAAGCTTCCGTCCTCGTGGGCTCCGAGCCTGCGCAGAAGGCAGCCCGGCGCTGGACTGCGACTCCCAGAAGTCTTGGCGTCTCCGCCGCGCTCTGGCTCCCGTTTCCCGGGCAGCTTCCGAGGCTACCGAAATTCTCCGGGCTCTAAGGTGGGGTGCTTGCACCCTGTGTGGCGGGGAACGCGGCCTCGCCTTGGGCTTCAGTCTGGGGGGTGGAACGGAAAGGCATGCACCGCGCCCAGACCTCACGGGGCTGGTTACACCCCGGGCTCACGACGGCCGGCGCGTGGCCCGAAGCGCTCACTTTCTCGAGTCGGTGGGCCAGAGTGTGAGGTCTGGAATGCTGACGGTAACTTAGGGTTACTGCGCCTCGTGTCCTCGGCACCTCCTCTCTCGTGCGGTGGCAAACAGCCAAAACTCAACTGAGTAAGCGGCAAGAGCTGCACTTCAGTAAGCCGTAGTGAGTGGAGAGGAGGGCCGAGTGGTACAGAACCCAAAGGTTTTGTAGGAAGGGGAGTGGGGCAAGAAGTTATTAGCCAAAGGAAAAGCTTTGTCTCAGGGCAAGGGGGCCTTCCATGGAGGGGTGGCGTGTGAACGGGGGGTTTTATCATGCAGATTACCTCATCTTCTCGGGGGCGTGGGGGGAGGGAATGAAGAGGGCCCATGTGACCTTTCTGGTGCTGACGAGAAAATTCTTCATTATTGCTTAAAATTTCACTCCTGAAGAGAACGCAACTGTAATTTCGTCCTGGTTTGCTATTCTGGGGGCAAGTAACTCCACCTTGGGCCTGTGGTTTTCTTTTCAGCAGAGGTAACCTCTATAATCTGTGTTCTCTTTTTGAAAGAATAGGTCTACTAGATAAGTACGCATGGTCAAACACTATATGGTTTAGTGTTCTTTCTCATCTAAAAGGCATCACGCCATCGGTAAGCCTCTGATACTTGTTTTTTTCACTTAACAATGTTTCTACGGTTTATCTATGGTGTTGAGTTACAATTAATTTTCTTTGTAATAGTCTGGTTGTGAATATAGCACTACATCCATTTTCCTACAGTTGGGCTGATGGGCTCTCTGTTGGTTAGGGCAATAAACCTCTTAGGAGTTGCATCTGCTTCTACCTGGGTTCCCCACAGTCTGTTCTTAACAGAGCAGCCTGAAGGATGCTGTTGCAGTCTTAAGTTCTGTTGCGCTGCTGAAGGGTAGCAGAGCACATCTCCTCACCTATGCGCCTTTGGTAGTTTGATCATTTTGAGCTGTAGGCACTTGAAAAACAGCAAATGTGGAAAGGGGCTTTCTCTGAATTTCCCTTATCTGTTTAGACAGATCCTCCAGAATAAACTCAATTGTTGCAAATACCCTTCCCCAAGAGTTTCATCAACTAGGGAAGATTGACTTGTATCCTAGGAAAGAAGTTGACACCACACCCTGACAAACTTGTCCCAAATGATCATGATGTAGAAATGGAGTTTGGAGCCCACAGCCAAGAAAAAAATCTTGGGACATCTTCAGTGGAAAAAAGTGGTTTTATTAAAGCACGGGGGACAGGATTGGTGGGCAGAAAGAGCTGCACTGGGGTAGTGACGGGTGACTGATTATAAACTGTCAAGTTGGGAGGGGGTT